CAATTCTTGAGGAAGATACAGACAGCAACTATAATATATACAGTGAACCCGCGCCACTTCGCGCTTCGACTTCCGCGGCTTCACTCTATCGCGGTTTTTGCGTAACAGCACCCACTGCCTACACCCGCTCCTTCAGAGGAAAAAGACGGCGATCCACCTGTAGAGTACATCCCTTAAGTCATTTCATAGGCTATTGATTACAGTATTTGTAAGAACTATGTATAATAATACTGTATGTGAAATATGTAATACTGTAAACTAGATGCCATAAATAATATAATAAATAATAAATGATAATTGTAACGTCCAAAATGTTTTACTGTATTTTCCCTTTTTTGTTTAATAAATTGGTTAATACGAGTGTAATGGTGACTAAAGGGTGTTTTTTCATGTCCTCTATGCTCTAACTACGAAAATATTCGATTTACAAATAAGGAATCCTACTTCGCGGAATTTCATTTATCATGGTAGGGTCTAGAGCCGATTAACCGTGATAAACGAGGGTTCACTGTAGTGAAATACACAACATAGCAGATAGTGACAAATGCTCAAGAGAAAAAAAGGGGAGCAGGAAGGGGGGGGAAGCAAGTGAGGGCATTTTATATAGGGCTACTCGTTCCCCGGCCACCCTATACCAATGTCCTCTGAATGTTAAGGAGAAGGCTTTTGAGGTAGGGTCTGAAGGGTGAAGAGAAGCTTCTGCAAGGGTCAGGAAAATGTCATGGAAGTGCAGTAGGAGCAGCACGTGCAGGCAAAGAAGGCACTGAAGGGAAGGGGCCTTGCACAGTTAGAGGACGGCATGTATGGGGAGAAGTGATGGGAGTTCATACTGGAGAAATCAACTGGGACCAGATTGCGGAAGACTTTTTAATGCCACAGAAAGAAAGAATGGGTTTTGTTCTGTGGGTCATAGGGAGTCAACAGTCTTAGGAGACCACTGGGGAGGCAGCATGTAGGGCAGCCCTCAGTAGGGCTGACCTCACAACGGGAACAGGGAAAACCAAGCTGCAGTAGCAGTGTAAGGAGCCAGAGCTGGCCTTCTACTTCCTGCGGAACTTGCCTTTAACGCCCACCACGTGGGGCAGCTCATTCCTGAACATAACTCTGTCATCACTCTGAAGACAGTTTACATATTTAGAACAAACAGGTGTCTGCTTCGAAATGCCAGCATGAAGATAGCTCTTTGTCAAACACCCATTTTAGAGAATGCCCAATTACTTGTTCTTTAGAACTTCAAGGAAAGGAACACTGCGATGACCACATGTCCAGATGTCAGCATCACCAGCGAAATGGCCTGCTTTATATAATGCTTTATACTTGCACTAAATCTTGTGCCCCTTTGTCACAATAGCTATGAAAAAGGAAAAAAAAGCCAAAGGGGCATTTTATTCAGTCATTCAATCACTACACCCACCCCCTTCTTGGGTGCTGTGTGAAAAAAGAACTGAAACATGTAAGCCTTCTCCCAAATCGGAAAGCGATGCACACTCATTCTTGGCATTTTGAAAAATTCTGCAAAGTAGAAAGAAGGAAACAAGGCAGGCACAACCTTCCTCTCTCGGTATCTTAACTCCGAACCACGGGGTTATACTTCTTCTGGCCTCTTTTCTACAGTTTGTGTTGGCTGTCCGTAGCCAAGATTACACTTCACACCACTTCACTTTCTGTTTCCTTCTTTTTATTTATAAAACTTTTACTGAGGGCTCTTACAGCTCTTATCACAATCCCTCAAGCACATTTGTACATATGTCGCCATCATCATTTTCAGAGCATTTTCTTTCTACTTGAGCCCTTGGTATCAGCTCATTTTTTCCCTCCCTTCCCCACCTTTCCTCCCTCACGAACCCTTGATAATTTATAGATTATTATTTTCATATCTTACATCATCCTCCGTCTCCCTTCACCCACTTTGCTGTTTGTTACCCTGGGAAGGGGCTATATGTCGATTACACCACTTCATTTTTAGTGACAAGCTGAGAGTCCCAAAGGTGAGGAGGACTGTAACATTTTCTGTAATCCAAGTGCTCATGCTTCTTGCAAACACTAGCATACAATCTCTCGCTGAATTGTACTGATCTGTCTCCATTTGGCACTTGGGAGCAGGGCAGAAGTCTAACCCCTGCTCCACAGAAAGGCATTTCAAATATTCCGAGTGAGCACTATCAGTAGCCCCACCCTCCTTAATCTTCAGACTGAAGATCAACATTATTTCTAGGACTGATCATGGTGTAGTTACCAACCCAGTTAGTTATCTTGCTCTAGTTTGTCAATATCCCTCTTAAAACATGGCACTTGGATTTAAACATGATGCTTTAGATGTAACAACTAAAGTGATATACACCTGGCCATCATGTTATACATCTGTCAATCACAGTTATGTTAGCTTTTTGAGCAGCTGCATCCAATTGATGGCTCACATAAAGGGTCCTGTTTTCTTTCTACTTGAGACTCTCATCCTTTGGCCCAATGTTTCCCAAAGTGGGCAATACCATCCTCTAGGGGAGAGCTGGAACAATCTAGAACTCAGAAACCAAACTCACTGCCATCCAGTCTATTTCAACTCATTGTGTGTAGAATTAACCCATGCGTTTCTGAGATTGTAACTCTTTATGGGAGTACAATCTTTCTCCTGTGGAGTTGTTTTTGAATGGTTGACCTTGTAATTAACAGTCCAATAAGTGACCACTAAGGCACCAGGACTCCTACAGAATGATTCAGGGGTATTGCAAAAGTTGCTGGTGTTAGGTGCCATGGAGTCACCGCCTCCAACCCCTAGCGACCCTATGGACAACAGAAGGAAACATGACATGGTCCTGCCCCATCCTCACAATTGTTCCTGTACCTGAGCCCACTGGTACAGCCACTGTGTCAAGGCCCTTCCTTTTGTCATTGCCCCTCCACTTCACCAAGTATGGGGCTGGTCTCTACTGACAACATGTCCAAAATATGTAAGACCAAGTCTTGCCATCCTTGCCTCTAAAGAGCACTGTCCAGGGTACTTTCAATGTTCTTCTCCCACACCACAGTGTGCACAAAAGTCGATGCCTGGACTATATGAGCTGAAGTGCTAAAGCTCTTCATTGCCAGGGGACACTAATTTTTTTTCCTTTCCTGAGGAGGCAGTAGGTCAAATAATTTTGGAAATCTATGTTTCAGACAAGTACATTCTAAGTATGTATCTATGCTAAATTTAGCATGATTGGTTTGGGCCCAATATCTTAACCAACTGAGATTTCAAACCCCCAATTCTGTCACCCATCACATTGGCTAGTCTGATGTTTTTCACACAGTGGACACGTGCACCTTCTATGTGCTCATCTGAAATGTATTAAAAATTCCCAAGAGGACAAGCCCCACAAATAAAGACATTAGCAACCACCTTTCCTGGTTAGCATCAGGCCTTAACAACTCCATCTAATTTCACTGCCATCGTTGGACTCATGCTTCTTCAATAGGGTCTGATTTCTGCCTTGACTGAATCAAGACACTGCACCTGCTAACACTCCCAATGGCTTATTTCTTTTCTAGGTACTTAAAAAGCATCCCTTGAGCCATGAATTTTGAACTTTTTGCCAATCTCTGTCAAGGGTTGGCACCTTGCTCACTGCTCTGATCATCTCCAGACTCTTCTTTCACACTGTGGAAAATTAGATCACTGAATCAATGCATGTCAATAAAAGGACCACTCTTAGGACCCTGTGGTCGGATCTACATCCTTATCTCTATAAACACTGCACTAGAGGTGCTACCCTAAGCTGGAGTGGCTACAAAAGGAGTCCTCACAGCTAAAGCACTAGGAGGAATAGGAAACAGCAGTTGTACAAGTTGAGCACAATAATGAACAGAACAACAAGAGATCCAAAGATGAAAACTCATCTAGATCAGAACTGTCCTGAAGGACTAGTGGGGTAAAAGCTAGATTTCCTCAATAATCTCAACATTTCATGTGTGTAGGAGGCTAGTGGACTATTTTTCTATGTTATTGTTGCTGTTAGGTGCTATCAAGCTGGTTCCAACTCACAGCGACCCAATTTACAACAGCATGAAACACTGCCGCCCTGTGGCATGCTCACAACTCTTACCATATTTGAGCCCACTGCTGCAGCCACTGTGTCAATCCATCTCGTTGAAGGTCTTCCTCATTTTTACTGACATTCTACACCAAGCATAATGCCCATCCACGGGGATTTATCCTTCCTGATGACATGTCCAATGTATCCTGGACCTATTCCCCCTTAGCCCATCCCATTAAAATATGCCTGCCCCTTCAGGTCAACCATATGTGCTTCCATGGCAGCCAACGCAACTATCCCTAGGGGCGTCTCTTCTCCAGTTCACTGTTCCATCAGCAAGTGTAGCGTTTCTCTGAAATGCAGCAGCAGCCAGTCCATGACCATAGGATGGAAATGCAGAGCAGCATGGTGCCAGGCCATCACTATCCTGGTTCTCAACTGCTAGCAAATGTTCTGTAGTCAAATGCTTAGAAAGTTCTAGGTCAGTGGTCCTCAAGTAGGGATTTACATTAGCATCCTCCTTTGTGAAGTTTTAAATATACAAGTGTGCCTAGATCAGAGCCCTAGAAGTTTCGATTATGCTCATTTATTATGACAAAATGAAATCAAACATTACCTCAAAATTCCTGACTTTTGTTATCTGGGACACCTGCATTATTTGTTAAGCTCCACAGTGACTCTTGTGTGTTTTGGATAGTGAATCACAGTTTTGTACTTATCCAACTTTTCCAGCGAGTGGTTACAGTTACACAATCTTGCCCCACAATCTGTGTGTGTATCATGCCTTACTTTTAAAGATACACTCTACTTTCTACATAGGCAGACGTTAGTGTAAAATGAGTTTTGCATAAGCCAAAAAATAAGAGTTGAGCAGATCTACTCCCCAGGTTAATTTGATCCACAGTCAATCTCGCAAGGTAGCAGTGCAACAGTTTAGCATGATCTTTAAGAGTTAGGGTCATCTTTATGTGCTTAGAGTCTACTCACCGTTTCCAAACTTCTTAAATAAAGACGATAATTTGTGATGTATACTCTTCCCTTAATGGGGCCATTGAAAGGACATATGTAAATAACTTCTTTGTCTATTAAGATAAAAAAAGTACCCTAAAATAATGGAAATATATACCAAAATATACAACAAATGGCACTAATTTAATATAAACTATTTGGCTAGCATAACTATAATTTTAAAAGTTACTGCAAAGGTTTAGAACCAGCACTGGCAATGTTTCTACATTACCATACTAAGTCAAGTTGGGGCAGTGGGAGGGAACTAGTGGGGCCACATGTCAGTCATGTCCTGGCACTAGCAGGGCTTCGCTGAGCTTGCCCACAATGCAGTGCCAACAGCTGGCCAGCAGAAGGAAAGGGGAGCATTGCTGCTGCTCCCCTCAGGGGGCTGTCAAGGTAACTGTTCAGCTACTTCAACAGAGAGAGGATGACTATTCCCTCAGGACAGTTTCATGGACCAACCATTGGACTAGGTCTGGAGGTTTGCTAACCTCTGTCCAAACAAGCATCATGATATTTTTTAGTAAATGAACATCAGCAAACCTGCTTCTAGATCATTGTTACAATTAACCAAGAATCAGAAGGTTACTCTATTTAAAGAGAAATATGGCTTCTTCTTATCTTCCAAGGATCTTCTTGATTGTGTTCGTGGCTTTTATAGTTTGGGGTTTCTTTCCTTTTTTTCAATTTTGAAATCGCTTTGTCTATAGGTGCTAGAGGACAGCTACCCAATAAGGCTACTTCATACTAGCTCAATTAATCACTACCTTGATGGAGGTTCTGGCACCGACACACAGCACCCAAATGCCACATGGGGAAAAGAAAGACTTCCTCTTTGCTCTTATCCAGGAATTGACATAGCTCCATCTTGCTGGGTCCATTTTCACGATGAAGAAAACGTGTGAACCTGGGAGAGCGGTTCCTCGGTGCCTGGCTAACTACTTCAGAAAGGCACTAGATCTATGGCCTTCAGCTAATCAGCACGAGGTTTTAGCCATTTGAGTTCAATAAGTCAGATCATATAAACTTATTGTGTGTCAATAAGCTTAGAGGTTTTCTGAAACAATGGGAGCTGGATCATCTCCAAATACACTGGGATCTGAGAGGAGGGCGCCGCCCTGAATGTAAAATGTAGGTATCGTTCGCCTTTGAGGCTTAGATTCTGAAACCAGAATCATTTGGCCCTTTCAAAGAGGATCCCTTCTTTTTAATATGAATTTATCATCAATAAAAAAACAAGCCAACATATTAAACTGTTACTTCAATACCACCAACTTTTGTTATCCGGCAAATGAGAGGTATTTTAAACTGACATGGTCTCATCTATCTGGAAGGTTTGAAGTTTATCGTTATCTAGTCGGGATGAACAGATTACAGTTTTCCGCCAGGAGCATTTAGAGCCCCAGTGACAGACTTTCCTGAGATAATCTGTATGTCCCTCCAAAATAAGTCCCAGTCTGGTTCAAAGGGAGAGAGAGAAACCACTCTCATGGTGAGCAGGGTGCTCTTGAAGCAGCTCCTTAAGAAACTACCACCAAGAGTTCTCCCTATCTTAAAGCTTCCCAATACAGTGAGCCCAGCTGTCTCAGGGTGACTTCTAGAAGTCTGGAAGCTTACCAGTGATCCGAGTTTCTCCAGGCAGGCGAGGGACTGCCTCACTGAGATCCTGATTAATTCCATCTTGAGAAGTCTGCAAAGGAATGAGTGGGACGGGTCTTGAAGCAAGCTGGAACCCAATTAAGTAAAACAACGACAACAACTCATCTTTAAAGGATATTTAGTTTAGATATTTACCATTACAGGAAATTGGCAGAGAAAATGCAAGCCACCGAAACGAAGAAAAAACAAACAAAGAAAACAGCAACCCTCATTAGATGGATTAACTTCTACTCCTTTCAAGAATACTACTACCTTAGTCCCTCCCTTCAGGAGTTCTGCTAGGCACCAATTAACCACAAAGCCTCATACGTGTGTGGTATGGGGCGAGGGATGATCTTTCAAGTGAACCAGCTGCTCCTGGGGATTACAGCCCAGCGACAGGCTTCAAAGTCAGCTTTCTGAGAGGGGAGGCGCATCAGAGGTTTCTCTTTGGGTAAAAGGTTTTGTTTTTGTTTTTCTCCAGGAATGCTTTTCATTCACTCCTTTTCTGGCAGTTTCCCAAGCTCACACTACAATCATTGTAATGTGAGGTTAGGGCATCTGTGAGAATTAAAGGTAAAGTGACCAGATTTTAACCTTGGTAAAGCGGGACACCACTGATAAAACTCATATCCTGGCGAAATAGCCACGTGGCAGCAGAAAACTATATACCCTAGCTTGTCGTGTATTCTTTCCAAAAAGTGGGACTTTTTTTTTTTTTCTTAGAAAATTACTGTTTTTATTTCTTTTTTTTTTATATATTTTTAAAACATTTTATTAGGGGCTCATACAACTGTTATC